ACACACACACACACACACGCTCACACACACACACACATGCACGCATACGCAAACAGAGGCATCGGGGTCGAAAGGTACGATCTCGAATGTAAATTGGGGGCCCTCCCACCTTCCCCTCCCCTCCTGCTCCCGCGAAGAGGGGGGCGGAAGGGAAGAGGTCCGACACTTGACCCACGCCAGCTGGGACTTGGGCACCGCTAGCCACGCTGTGGCTTGTTCGATCGACCCGAGGCTCTCGGATCCTCGATCCTCTTCCTCCCAATTCTCTGCCCCTCCTGCCCGTTAACCTTTTTTCCGCTCGCCCTAGCCGTGACCCGTCCTCCTCTTCATCATCCCATCCTCATCCTATCTCCATTTTCCCGCACCCCTCCCTCCTCCGAAACGCCATCCACCAGAACATCAAACGGTGAACACCGCCATCAATCGCCAACATCGCACACGATAATCGATCGTCATAGTCGCCATGCGTAGAAATCATCGTCGTAGTCGCCATCATCGACGCGATCACGACCAGGCATATTCATCGCTCGCATCATCATCAAATCGTCGCTCGTCATCGTTATCATCCACTTCACCATCGTCATCGCGACCATCATCTTCTCGTCATCTGCCGCCATCCCATCTTTCACCCGCATGTCTCATCATCATCATGCCCTCCCTCCCCCGCAACCGCACCAGTCCTTCCCCCCTCCTCCTCCTCGTTCTCCTCCTCCTCTGAACAGGGCAACGCATTGTCGCCCACCTACTCGGTCTCGCCGTGGAGCATTTTTAAAGAGGACCAGGGGCTCGATAGTTTCAGGGGGGGGCAAAGCTACCCCCACATGCCCTAGATCTCTCCCTCATCCCCTCCCCCAGGAGGGGAGCGAGTATAGAAATCCGTTGACGCTCACCTGGGACAGAGCGATTCACAGCCAGATTTCGAGTGCGCGGACTCGGGTCCACACCCCGCCTGAGGACTTCGAGGGCTTCGAGAGCGATTGAGGGGTCAGCTCGCGTGCTAGGGCCAATATTTGTTGCGATTTAAGGGCCGTCGGAACGTCTTAAGCCAGCGCAGGTGCTCGCCTCGGTGGGGTTGCTGGGGAAAAGAGCTGCAGCTAGGGAAAACAAGCTAAAGCACTCCTCCCCGCTCTTCCCTCGATCCTCGTTATCGTACCCCGCCAACGGTTTGCCCCCGGTGGGCCAGCAGCCGCGGCGCCGACCCCGCAGCGCAGCGAGGCAACCGCAGGGGCCCCAAGAGGACGGAAGGGAGGAGGAGGAGGAGGAGGAGGAGAAGTAGGAGAAGGAAGCGACAACGAGGACGACGACGACGGAGGCGACGGAGGCGTCGGCGACAGCCGCGGCGGCGACCCTTTCTCCTCAGTGGTTTTCCCCTTCCTCCTCCTACTCCTCTTCCTATCCTCCTCTACCTCCTCCTCGTTCTCCCTCTCTCCCTTTCCTTTCCCCCGCTTCGCCTGCCTCCCTCTCCCGCTCCTTTGTTTCTCGCCCTTAACTTCCCGAGACGCGCCTCGGACGTGTCGAGACGTGCCTGGACTTGCCTTAAAGCACGCGTCTGACCCATTGAACCGTCGTTCGGAATGGCACTCTCGCCTTGGCGCCTGACTCAATCCCGCCATTCCGATTATAATCCGTCACGCTTCCGCGCTATATGGCTCAGCTCTGATATTAGCTTGCGCTGTGCGCGCTTCGCGACATTTGCGCTGGTGCAAACAAAATCATCTTATGAACTTAAGCTCAAATTTTGAGCTGAGCAACCCTCTGGGGAGTTTTCCAGGTGGCCGGCTGGTTGGGCCGAAGGCCCTTGGGAACGTTCAAGCAGAACCAGGAAGTATTGAACATCTAGCGCGCCGTGCACCCCTGGGGCACGCAGATGGAGCGCCTGATCGAAGACGCCTGCAGTGAATCACCCTCGCGCCCTGCCTTTTGGAAAAGCCCGTGCAGCCAAACGTTGGGCCGAGGGCTGAAACAGCTATTGGACACGTGTTCCCCCCAGCCATTGCGGAATTCCTTGGGGGAACCGTGGGAAGAAGAAGGGAACGGAGGAGGAGGAGAGGGAAAAGAAGGACATCCTGGCTAAAACCTTTTTGGCCCAAGCCCATCTTGGGCTCAACCAGCCGCGGTGCCATGTCTTTCTGGACCGATTTTCGGATGGAGGACATTGGTCGAGCGTTTCGAGAAGGCGCAATTTGCCTTGAAGCGTCGACCAAGAGCTACGGCCGGTCGAAACAATGCAGCGCAGCGCTGCGACTCCGCAAAGGAGTTCGACTAGGTGTGCAACCCATCCCGAGCCACTACGTTGCGACTGTCAGCGCGGGTAGGAAAAGAAAGCCGGGCAATGGCAACACGCGCTGTCAGTGTTCAGTTAGATGCGGGAGGTGATGCTGGACCCCTACGTCACCGGCTACAGCGCCAGGATCAGCGCGTGCTGGACTGGCGAGCAAAGGCAGCGGGCGTTGGCGCTGCTGGGCGAAGCGAATTGGTGGGATTGAAGCTGAAGCCCGACGTCATCAGCTACAGCGCTGGGAACAGCGCGTGCTGGAAGGGCGAGCAGTGGCAGTGGCGGGCGCTGGCGATGTTGAGCGAGCTGCTGGAGGGGAGGCTGGAGCCCAGTGTCGTCTCTTTTACAATACAGGAGCCTATGCGTGCCAGATGGTGCTGTGCATCACATATTGTTTGGGCCCTGGAGAACTCCTGGGAGGCCCACAGACGCCCACCGGGCAGCTCCGACAGCCCTGCGGGCCTCGGGGCACGCCCCCTTCTGCAGCCCAGCGGGGCCCAAAGGCGGCCGAAGAGGCGCCGCAGAATTGCAAAAAAAAAACAAGGATTGCAAGAGGTCCCCCAGACGCCCTAAGAGAGAGACCCACAGGGGCCCCCAGACAGGCCCTCGTGTGCCGACTCGGCTGCGTGTCCTCTTCCGTGCCCGACGTCTGTGGCCGTCTGGGCCCGGGCGCTCGGCTGTTGCTGACCAGCGGCGGGCACGAGGAGGTCATCCTCCCTGGTGCCGGGCCATGCCAGCGCGCGGGAGGAAGGTAGAATTAGGGGGTCGAGGCGGAGGACCGTGGAGGAAGACCGAGAGCGTGTGGCAGCGCTCCGTACGACCCTCCAGGACGGGAGCCCGGCCGCCAGGCTCACAGGCCCCCACGTCGCCGAGTCCAGCGGCGGGCGAGGAGGATTGGCAAGAGAGGTCCGACGTGACCGCAAAACTGCGCTCGAGGGTGTGGGTCCCGAGAGTCTGGGGAGTGGGCCCCTCCTGTAGCCGGGGAGGGGGGGGGGGGGCGTCCTTGAATTCGGGGGGGAGGCTTGCCCCTTTTCGCGAACGATGCTTGCTTTTTTGGCTGGCCCCCACGGGCATCCCAGGACGAGCCCCGAGCCAGGATGAAAGCGTTGAATCCTAGCCACCGCCTCTGCCTCACACGCGACCATGTCTCCAGGGCCGTCCACCGCGCCGGAAGTCTGGACGCCCGGGCTGTTCCAATCCCCTGGCTTCCTCCTTTTCGGCAACCTCTGAACATTTGCCTCCACAAGGGATGGGCTCGATCCTGGGAAGGTGAGCCGCGCGGGACGGTCGCTGAGTGCTGTCGACCAGCACCATCATCATTTCCCCCTTATTGTTCGTCTATGGCTAGTCGTGCTATGGTGCCCGCTGGTCGTGTATTATCCTCGGCCTCCCTTGCTCCTTCTCGCCCCCTTCTCGCCTCTTCCTCCTCCTCCTCCTCCTCCTCCTCCTCCTCCTCCTCCTTCTCCTCCTCCTTCTCCTCCTCCTCCTCCTCCTCCTCCTCCTCCTCCTCCTACTCCCCCCCCTTGCTCCTCCTCCACCTCTTCCACCTCCTTGTCCACTTTCCCTCCTCGGGACCTCCTCGTCCGCCTGGGTCACCTGCCCCTCGGGTCTCCCTTTTCCTCCTCTTCGCCGCGGAGGAACGACCTGATCGTCGTCGTTTTCCTCCTGGAGGGCACATGGATGCAGGGTGAAGTGGGAGGGGAATCAGGAGGAGACGTAGGGGATGGGCGACGACGACGCTGATTTAACTTTCAATCACAACGAGTCCCTGGGCCTCGCCCTGGGCCGTCCTGGCAGGTTGTCGTTCACTCCGGATCGATCTTCGACAGCCCCCCGAGGCCTGACACTCGGCGGGGGGTGGAAACCATCCATGCCCTTACCCATGAGAAGACCTTTGGCGTGGGTCGGAAACACATCCATACCCATAGCCACGGCCTCGCGTTGCGGACTCCTCCTCGGCAGCGGCCCTCCGTATATATAGGGCGGCTTCGCGCGGACGCACCGCGCGGGACGCATCCATTGGATCTCGCATCCGTGGGATGGCCTTTCGGTATCCAGACTGCGCGATCATGGATAGGAGCCCAGACATCCGACGACGTTTGGTGCTCCAGTCCGCAGGTTCCAGAGGTGTCGGCCCCTTCCCCAACGGTCTGTTTTCATCCAGGTTCCGTCTCGCCTGGGGGCAGAAATTACAGGAGACCGCGGAAGTTGAACCAAGTTCACCCCCTGGGCGTCTGGGGATATGCTCATCGCTTGTGAAGAAGGGGGGAGGGGCAGGGTGGGGAGGAGGAGGAGGAGGAGGAGGAGGAGGAGGAGGAGGAGGAGGAGGAGGAGGAGGGAGGAGGATGAGATGGAGGGAGGAGGAGGAGGAGGAGGAGGAGGAGGAGGAGGAGGAGGAGGAGGAGGAGGCATCCTGCATCCTCTATACGGGCTTCTCCTGTTTTCCGCCTCCAGTTGCCCTTCTTCTTTCCTGTCGTGCACGCGCTGCTCGTTATGTGCATCGTGTGCTCACGCGTTTTCTTCTACTTTTCCGTCAGAGCGAGCGTCCAGGCGCTCGGCGATCGCTTCGATCAGCGTCGGTGCATCGCAGCAGCACGCCTCCTGGGCACTTGCTCGTCGTGCTTCCGGCCGCGGCGCTCCCGCGGGCGCGCGCGCGCGCGCGGGCGAGCTCGCGCGGACGCAGGCGGCACCGCCGAAGCCGCTGCTGAACCGCCTGCTGCCGCTGATGGAGGACGGGCCCCGTGCGGGGCTCCCGGTGGCAAGTCGTAGGAGCCTTGCGTACCCTCGTGGTTCCGCCTTGAGAGTGCTTCAGCGCCGACTCGCGTCTGGCAGTCGATGAGATCGCGCCGATGTAGCGTCGATCAGCGTCGATGTAGCGTCGATGAAGCTTTGATGAGCGCTGATCCGCAAGAGCCAACAATACGGCATGGGAGGCTCTCACGAGTTGCCACGGAGTTTGCAGGGGGGAGGGTCTGTCGCCAGCGTGCCCCAGGGGGGAAGGCAGCGTCGAGGAAGCGCAAGCATGGACCAGGGCTCGTGGATCAGCGACGGGCCCCGCTTTCGTGCAGCATTGACGCGCTGGGTCGCCAGATGAGGCGGCACTGGCCTCATGTTGTGGGCCCGATCCGTGGATCTGGCGCTCACGCGCCAGATCCATGGATCCCTCATCCACGCTGGCGCGTGCCCGACAGAAGGAACGGGGCCTAGACATATGCATTACGACCACCTCCCTCACCTCCTTCCCTCCCCCAGGAAAGAGGAGGGGAAGAGGAGGGTGGAGGAGGGAGGGGGAAGGGAGGCGGTGATGGCGCATCGTCTGGGGACCCGCAGAGGGGGCGGGCCCTCCCACAGGTCTCCGAAGGCCCCCCGCCGGATCCGAGGGGCTCCCGGGGGCCTCCTCGGAGGCCCCCCGGGGAGGGGCTCCTCGGAGAGGCGCGGAGGCTCCCGAGCGGGCCTGCCGCGCGCCCCGCGTCCCGCGGCGGCCTGGCCCCGCCCATAAATTTTCCCCTCCCCGTCGGCGCGCCGCCGGGGCACGGGAGGCGCGAGGATCGAGGCCACGGAGGGCCGATCGGCGATGAAAGAGCGGCAGACAGCGGACACGCAGTGTTCGCGCCGAGGGGCGGGGCCAGGCGCAGAGCCGAGAAGTCCGCGCGGGGTGCCGAAGGTTTACATGCCCGTGCTGGTTTGGGCTCCCCTAGGACCATCACCCTCGAGGAGGGAGGAGGAGGAGGAGGAGGAGGAGGAGGAGGAGGAGGAGGAGGAGGAGGAGGAGGAGGAGGAGGAGGAGGAGGAGGAGGAGGAGGAGGGACAGGATCGAGGCTATCACAGGCTCGTTTCCCCGTGCGGGCTAGATCAGGGGCTGCGGCCCGCAGGCCAAGGGGCGGCCCTCAGAGGCCTGTTTCCCCTGCGGCCCGGGCCAGGGGGGCGGCCCGTGGGCCGGGAGGGGGGTCTAATGGGTGGTGACGCGTAAGCTGCTCCTCTGGATCGAGGTGTTCCTGCAGTGGACACCCATGCCGAGAGACGCCATGCTTGCCTGGGTATCTTGGGCTTCGTTGTTTTTGCCAATGCTGGAGAGCGTGGCGCTTCTGCACCAACAAGCAAGGGGCGCCCTGGGGTCTCAGGGTTGGGTCTCTTGTGGAAGGGTTTCCTTGTGGTCGAGCTCCTGCTGTAAGCTGCTCCACTGGATCGAGGTGTTCCTGCAGTGGACCCTCCTCTGTGGGAGGCCCCTCGTCGAAACAGCCAGATGCCCCTCGAAATGCCGGTCAGGACTCGGCGCCCATAGCAGGTCGAGGGGTCGATGTTTGACCCGCGCCCCCCCCCCCAGGGTCACTCGAGGATCCTTTTTTGAATTTTCAGGTTCGAGATGCAGTGGAGGCCCATGCCAGGAAACACGCTGCTTGCCTCCAGGGCCCTGGGACCCCCTCGCGTCTTGAGCAAAAGGACGACAATATGTATTTGACCTCTCTCTCCAAATCGAACTGCCTGTAGGAGTTCCTTTTCATAGTGTTAGCGAAAACTGGATCCGTTTACTGAGCCCCGCTTGTGTTTGATCCTGCACGATTCCAGATACGATCTGTCCATTGACTGTGTGTGTGTGTTCTAGTTGAACTCCTTTGTATTCCAATGGGGCAGCACGGGCATGCCGTTGGAGTCCTATGGGCACTCCCACGGATCCCAATATGTATCAGATTTGATTCCTACGGCTATCCGAATGGATTGTAAGTAGTATCCCAGTGTGCTCCCACATGATTAAGCTATGCGCATGTCAGTGGGCTCTGCCTGGGTATTCCAAGACACCGTTGGCAATCCACTGGACACGTATGGGTATTCCAATGGATATTACGTTGTCCGTGCATTGTCTGGGCTACGTCAATGGTTTCCCATGGTCATTCCCAGGGCTTCTTGGCAGTCCCCTTAGCTTCCTGGCTATCCTAGTGGGCGACTTTCCTATTCCAAAGGACTCCTAGGCTATTCCTATGGGCCCCTCCGCTATCCGAGAAGATCCCTCTGCTGCCACAAGGGTGTTCCAATGGAGTTCGATTGATGGAGTCGGACGGAGTCTTGTGGAGACCAATGGATCCCAATTGAGTCCTATGTAGTCCAGTGAAGTCGTACTCCCATGCAGCCGTGCGAAGTCCAATTGAGTTCTGTGCAGACCGATCTAGTCAAATGGAGTCCAATGTCGACTTTTTTATAAACCAATGTGGCACAGCGGGGTCCAATCTCTAAGAAACTCCCAAGCGATCTGGTGGTACTCGTGACGGGCGGTTTTTGTATATACGCTGCCCGCGCTCTCTCCTCGTCTTCCCTGCCTCCTGGGCATCAGCTTGCGTCGCCCTGGGGATTACTGGGCGGGATTTCGCCCGCCTTAGCATGATAACGTCTTCTGGGTGGGTGGCGGTATTCGCGCTGCTCTGTGATATTGAAGTTGCGCTGTGGTGTGAAGACACATCTCAGAAACTCCCAGTTGGGAGTCAACTCTGTTAGGCAGCGGGGGCCCATGCCAAGAAACACTCTGCTTGCCTCCAGGGTGCCCTGGGTTTCTTGGGTGTCGATGGTTCTGCAATGGAAAGCGTGACGTTCCCACACCAAAAATCAATGGACGTCCTGGGGTCTCAGGGTCGGGTTTCTTGTGGAAAGTTTCTTGTGGACTGGCCTCCACTGTACGCCTCTGGGGGCCCTCGCTGGGCCCTGGGCCCGCTACAACTCGGCTCTGGATGGAACGCCGCTCCCCGGGACGAGGCGGAGACTCACCACTCTGGAGGCCCACGCCGTGGAACAGCCACGACAAGGGGGGCTTGGCGGGAGCAGGACGGGAGGCAGAGGACGGGAGGAGGAGGAGGAGGAGGAGGAGGAGGAGGAGGAGGAGGACGCAGGGAGGAGGGAGAGGAAGGAGGAGGAGGACGCAGGGAGGAGGGGGGGAAGGCGGGGGCGGGGGCGAGGCGCTCGAGGGAGGGTGCGGCTCTGGCGCGGCGCCAGCCGAGGGCCGAGGGCCCCGGGGGAGGGCCCCGGGGGGAGGCCTTCTTCGTCCTGCACAACGGCTCGACCGAGGCGGGGCCGCTCCTCCCCGCGCGCTCGCGGCCTCCCCGCGCGGCCGCCCGCCCGCCCGCCGGCCGAGGCGTCGAGGCCCCTGCCGCCCGGCGCTGCTCGGCTAATGGGGTGAGCCCCGGCTTTTTTTGTGACGGTGGGGAGCGTTCCACACCCCTTCGCGTTGTGAATGCATCACGACGGGAGGTTGTTTGCGAAGTTTCGGCCTCCGGGGGAGGCCGCCTCTTTTACCAGCGCAGACGGAGCCCCACGGCACGACACAAGAGAGGAGCGTCGGACCACACTGCGCACCCGTGTTGAAGCGAACTGGGCGAGCGCACACAGAGGACAGACCCGACGACCCCCGCGCCCTCCTCGTCAAGATCCATGCAGCGTGGTCGGGGGGCCCAGTCATGGTCCACACGCTCTCGCCGTACTGATTTTACAGACTCGGGGCAGCGCTCGGGCGTGTGCTTGCTTTCTCGGCGAGGACCGTCGATGCGCATCCTGGATCAGCTGTCCGCAAGCACACTCACGAAGCCGCAACATGCACGGGGAATGGACGTCCGTCTAAGCCTCCTAGATAGGTCGGAGTAGTTGTCAAGCAGTGGCGAAGCGTCCTGGCTTGCCTATAGCCCTACCAAACACTGTTCTAAGATCCTTGTGTGGTTTCCACGAAATGTTCTTAGAACCTTTCTGGCGGAGACTGTCTTGTTTTATCACATAGGGCTTATGTTCTAAGAACCTGGTTTTTGTTATTGGAACATTTCTTGGTTCAAACAAAATCGTGGTAGGACTGTAAGAATGCCTGGACGGTCGGTCCCTGCTCAAAGATGGGGTCGGAGGATCGCCCCGCATCGTCGATGCATCGCCGATACGGCTCGATGCGGAGCCTGATTTCCTTCACGTTGACGTCGCCGATGCGTCGCCTACGTCGGCGGCGATGCATCGCCGGTGCATCGCCGATGCATCGCCGATACATCGCCGATGCATCGCCGATGTATCGGCGATGCGACGCGATCCTCCGACCCCATCTACTCCGACCCCATCTATCAGGCCTCTTGTCCGAGCGATGGCGAGCAGAGGGATGGCTGGGGTTTCCCCCCACTGTTCTCGGTCGACGGCCGGTCGACCGGGGGAGCGGGCGTTCAGTGATGTGGAGCAGTGGTAAGGCCTGCTCCGAAGGGGAAGACGGGGGCAGGAATCAGGCAGGAAGCCCAAGCGTTCGGGAGGAGCTGGGTAGGAAAGAGGCAGGAGTCAGGCAGGGCAGCGAAGCGTTGGGGAGGACCGAGGCAGGAATTAGGCAGGAAAGCCAGGCGGGGGGCTGCAGGAGGAAGTGCTTTAATCCGAGGCGGGGATTTGTCCATGAGCACCGCCTTGGGGAATCGATCTTCGCGGACCTCCACAGGCGTTGGATATGGGTCCTATACGGGCCTCCAAGGGCCAACATGTGTCCATGATCCGCCGCCCGCTGGGGCACCAGGACGTTCGTTCCCAGGCGGTGGATATGGATAAACTCCCCGTCTCGCATTTGAACCACCTACGCCCAGAGGGCTTGGAAGGGTTTCGCGTGGCTTTCCCATGTCGAGGGACATGATCGCACGGAGGGGCACAAGGGGTTTTGAACGCCGTAGCCATCGGGGCTGCCGCCGACTAGACTCCCAAACAAATTCATCTTGCCCTGGCCGCCTCTTGCTCCTCCTCCCCCCTCCCCCGGGTCTGTTTCGATCCGATGAATCCGATTCCATATCGATTTCGTCCAGGTCGATCCGATTCGACTCCGATTTCTCGCCGATCCGACGCGGCTCGATGCTTCCATGGCGCCGTTGTGCAGCCTGGTGCAGCCGATTCGACTCGATTCCGACCCCGTGGCGGTGCGGCCCGATCTGACGCACGTTCCGATCCGATCCGATTTCCCGACTCGATGCTGACCGATCCTGCCCTTCCTCAGATGGACTTGTCTTCCACCACCGCCACCATAAGTTGGAGGGGGGGAGGAGGAGGAGGAGGAGGAGGAGGAGGAGGAGGAGGAGGAGGAGGAGGAGGAGGAGGAGGACGAGGACGAGGAGGAAGAGGAGGAGGAGGAGGAGGAGGAGGACGAGGAGGAGGAGGAGGAGGAGGAGGAGGAGGAGGAGGAGGAGAAGGAGGACCCCCCGCCCTCCACCTTCCTGGTCGTTGTCATGTTTCCTCCTCCTCCGCCTCCTCCACCTTCCTCGTCGTTTTCATCATTCCTCCTCCTCCTCCTCCTCCTCCTCCTCCTCCTCCTCCTCCTCCTCCTCATTCTTCTCCTTTGGCTCTGCCCGGGAGCACCCGAGTGGGTCCCCACCCCCGTCGCCAAGGTACTCGACCGTCCAAACACCAGCCTCCGGCCTTCGAACGGGGCTAGGGCGAGGGCCACTCCCAGAGCTCTCCGGAACGCTCTCAGAGCGTTCTGGAACGCTCTGGGAAGGCCGCGGCGCCCGAGTCATCCTCTGGAGCCGCCGGTTATCAGAGATTCTCGATGTATCCTCACCCGATGTCAACCTCACCCTGGCTTCGTCTTAGCTTTGGGGCTCGACGGTGCAGAAACCGGCCTCTGGGCCTCCAGCAGGCGCGAGGCTCGTCGACCCTGCCAGGCAAGCGGAGCCCGCCGTGGCGCGGCTCCGGCCGTGGCGTTGGGGACGCCCTTGGGGAGGAGCAAAACAAGGTCGAAGAGCGCCTGAAAACCTCGATCCTCCTCCTCCTCCTCCTCCTCCTGCTCCTCCTCCTCCTCCTCCTCGATCGTCCTCCTCCTCCTCCTCCTCCTCCTCCTCCTCCTCGATCGTCCTCCTCCTCCTCCTCCTCCTCCTCGATCGTCCTCCTCCTCCTCCTCCTCCTCCTCCTCCTCCTCTTCGTCCTCCTCCTCGTCCTCGTCCTCGTCCACCCTTCTCCTCCATGCTTTTCCCTTCGACCTCCTCCTCCTCCTCTTCGTCCCTTTTCTCCATAATTCCCCCCCTTTCGCCCGGCGACGCGGAGGCGGAGGCCGACAAAAGTCGCCCCGCGAGGGAGAAGCCGGCGGAGGAGCCGGCGTGTCCGCGCGACGTCGTCGTCGTCGCCGCCGCCGCCGTCATCGTCATCGTCGTTGTGGTCGTCGTCGTCGCCGCCGCCGTCATCATCGTGGGCGTTCTCGTCGTCGCCGTCGTCGGTGTCACCGTTTGTCGTCCCCTTTCGCGTCCTCCCTCTATACCTCCTACCTGCCTGCCTGCCTACCCCCGCCATCGCCTTTCCTCGGCGCTCGCGGCAGGAGGGAGAATGAGGAGGGGGGGGAGCGGAGGAGGAGGCGGCGGAGGGAAATACAGAATGGGAGGGAGAACAGGCGGTGAGGTGAATATGGACTAACTAGCCCGATGTGGAGGGGGAGTCGGCGGAAAGCTGGAGGAACGCAGGGAGGGGGAGGAGTGCGAGCACGAGGGGGTGCAAGGCCCCGCCAGCACACACACACACATACAACACAACCCCCCAGCACAACCGCCAAGCACAACCGCCAAGCACAACCCCCCAGCACAACCCCCCAGCACGACCCCCAGCACAACCCCCAGCACAATCCCCCAGCACAATCCCCCAGCACAACCTCTCAGCACAACTCTCCATCAAAACCCCCCAGCACAACCCACCAGCACACACACCCTTGCACATCCCCTCAGCATAACCCTCCAGCAAAACCTTCCAGCACAACCCTCCAGCACAACCCACCAGCACAACCCCCCAGCACAACCCCACCCAGCACACCCCCATCGCGCACCCCCCAATCACAACCCCCCAGCACATGCTCCAGCACAACCCCAGCACACATACACACACAGCACGCCACCCCAGCACAGCCGCCCCGCTCACAGCACAACCCTCCAGCACAACCTCCCAGCACAACCCCCAGCACACCCCCCAGCAACTTCTCCCAGTGCACCGCTTATCCCCCCGAGCATACCCCCCAGCGCTCAATCCCCCGAGCATACCCACCGAGCACAACCCCAAGCTCAACCCCGAGCGTACCCCCCGGACATACCCCCCAGCTCACCGCTCATCCCCCCAGCACAACTCCCCAGCAAAATCCACAGCACAACCCCCCCAGCACAACCGCCCAGCACAACCCCCCAGCACACCCCCCCAGCACAACCCCCAGAATAACCCCGCAGCACACCTTCCAACACAACCCCACAGTACAACTTCCCAGCGCAACTCC